TGGATTCTACCAAGAGCCACACAGTTGTATTTGAAATGCATTTGTCTAATTTGAGGAAGAAATTAATTTGATCTTCCTGCCATGGGACTAGCTTTTAAAATCCACATCTCAACAATGTAGCTAAATTAACAGTAGTTAAGTAAATTAGAAACTCAAGGAGCTTCAGAATATGAGCAAGACCAGGGACAGTCCTGATGGGCATCTATCCCTTGAGGCTACAAAGTTGTCACAAAGAGTCTGAGATGCAGGCAAAAGAGGCAGATCAAAGCTCCACTCTAAGTTCTCTGAAAAAATTTCTTCTGAAGGAGATGGACCTATTAGCAGAGAACAAAAAAGTCAAATTTGAATTCTATTTTCAACACCTCACCTCCCATTTCACAAATAAAAATTCATATGCATTCCTCACCAGTTAGGTCTTGTCCTATGACTGTCAGACCCTTAAAAATATGCATTTCTATTTTTATAATGTTTATTCCTGCTTATAAAAGTAGTATGTTGGCCGGGCGCGGTGGCTCAAGCCTGTAATCCCAGCACTTTGGGAGGCCGAGGCAGGTGGATCACGAGGTCAAGAGATCGAGACCATCCTGGTCAACATGGTGAAACCCCGTCTCTACTAAAAACACACAAAAAAATTAGTCAGATGTGGTGGCAGGCAGCGGTAGTCCCAGCTACTCAGGAGGCTGAGGAAGGAGAATTGCTTGAACCCAGGAGGCGGAGGTTGCAGTGAGCCGAGATCGCGCCATTGCACTCCAGCCTGGGTAAAAAGAGCGAAACTCCGTCTCCAAAAAAAAAAAAAAAAGTAGTATGTTATAGAAAAATTGGAACACATAGATGTGTAAAGAAGAAAATAAAAGTCAGTCATAATTCATGTATGTATTACACATCCCTGGAATAGTTAGTTCCTTTTAGTCTTTTTTTTCTTTGTGTATACATTTGATGGATGAATGTGCTTACAAGGGTTATGGGATTGGAATATTCCCTTTGTGTTTTATTTTTTTTCAACTTAAGCTTTACTGTTGGAATTTCAGAAGTTTTTAGATGGTAATTATTCTTTTACACAAATTTTTGTGCAGTTAACAATTATTTTCATAGCATAAATTTCTGAAATGGGATTAAAATGTCAAAGAATATAAATATTTTAAAATATTTGATACATATCACCTAATTATCTTCCAGAAATTGTTTTCTAGTTTACACTCTCCATAGTAACTATGTCCTTTATAAAGTGAATCTTACCAATAGAGACTATATTTAATTGCTGACAAAATTATGTGAAATAATTATATTAAATATTATATCTAGCTTTTGTTTTTATGTATTATCTTTTCTTCGAATTTTAGAGGGTAAATTTTTTCCGAGATCTCATATGTAATAATTTAAATTTTCCTTGTCTAGTCATAATATTTGCTTAACGCTCTACTAGATGGAACATTTTATTTGAAGGAGTTTTTTTTTTAAATTAAAGATTTTAACCCTTTGAATATGTGTTGAAAGTAGTATTGCTTCTTGTTTTATTACTTATTTTTACCTTCTTTTGTTTGATTGTCCAACATTATGGACAAAAATCAAAATGTCAGGGAAATTTTTTTCTGTAGTCAAGCCAATCAACCTTTATTTCTGTTGTGACTTTTATTTTAAGACAGAGTCTCGCTTTGTCACCCAGGCTGGAGTGCAGTGGCATGATTTCCGCTCACTGCAACCTCCATCCCCAGATACATGCGATTTTCCTGCCTCAGCCACCCAAGTAGCTGGGACTACAGGCGTGCACCACCACGCCTGCCTAATTTTTTGTATTTTCGGTAGAGACAGGGTTTCACCAGATGGCCTGGATCTCCTGACCTCATGATCCGCCCACATTGTCCTCCCAAAGTGCTGGATTACAGACGTGAGCCACGACGCCCAATTTCTTCTGCAGCTTTTATTTAGAAAGCTCTTTTCCCATCTAAGCATAAATATTTACCAATATTTGCTTTAATTTTATGATTAAATATATGTATATATATTTTACTTTTTATTCCTTTTAGACATATTTTCAGGAATGGTTTGAGGGGAGGCACTAAGAATTTTTTCCCAAGTATCTCAGTATCATTTAATAAATAACTGGCATAATTTTGTGATGGCTCTCATTCACACTGTTGGCCCATAGTCACACAGTGATTTGTATGTAGCCTGCTATGCCAGGGGTGACTGCAGTGACATCCCATTTCAACTATAGGCAGCTTGAGGACTCTGTGTGCAACTCTCACAGTTCCCTGAATATGGTAGATGGCCAGTGAACTCCTGTATAAAAGGCACAATTAATGAGTCATTGATACACCTGGGAAAGTTTAACTTGGAAGATAAACAATGTCTGTCCTGACTGGTTTAAATGTTTACCTTTTGGGAACAAGGGTGCCAAGCCAGACAGGACTTTTAGTGATCCTTTCCACTTATGATTTTATCTTCTACCCCCTGCTATTTTGATTGAGTTGCTTAGATCTTTAGAATATAATACTGGTTTCTCAGGGCCTCAGGATTAGGACTAAATTTCAGATCTCAAGGCCTTTTAATTCACTACTCTCCAGGAACAGTTCTGATGCAGCTGGGCTAGTATTTCTCACACTTGAGTGATATGCATAGCTGTAAAATGTAGGTACCTTTTAAAAAACATTACTATGAACCTTCAGTAATGCCTTATTTTTATTAAAACTTCATTTAAATAAGGTACATGTCCTTTTAGGTACATAGCAAAAAAGGCAGGGGTCGTGATTGCATGGTAGACACTCATATGATCCACAGTATACACAATGTTAACTTAATATATTGTTTTAAAAACATTGTGATTGAAGCAAAAGCACAAATTTCAAGAATTCATCAGGAACCTGGAGACCCCCCCCCAGGAGTATGTGTCATTATTCTTATTCTAACAAAACAGAAATTGGAGGATTATTTTACCATATACCACATTCAACCCTCAACCTCTGCCATTTTTCTAGGCAGTGTGGATGTCTACCCAGTCTTCAATGCTCAATTTAAATGTGAACAATCACTAAACTAGATATAAACTCATCTGCATATACTGTAACCATTATGCAACTATGAAACTAAAGCTAAATATAAAAAAAACTATAAAACCAACACCTCAAATAACCTTACGTATTTAATGAGATGGACGATACTGTTTGCTGACAAAAATGTCTGTTCATATCACAAATTTTTTTTTTTTTTTTTTGGTTCTACATGCCTATTACTTAGTGAATGGACTTAATCTGAATTTGTTTGTTCCTTCCACTATTAATCTTTTTTTTTTTTCAAGAAACCTTTATTAGTTACAGCACATTAATCCATCAGGATTTTCATGAATCATCACCAACTATATCCTACCAATATTCTGAAGAATTTGCTTCTAGAAGTTGATAACTGAGCTGAATTTTGCTTTATAGATTTTAAGAAAACTTGTTTTTTTTTGAGACAGCGTCTCACTCTGTTGCCTAGGTTGGAGTGCAGTGGCATGATCTTGGCTCACGGCAACCTCTGCCTCCTGGGTTCAAGCCATTCTCCTGCCTCAGCCTCCTGAGTAGCTGGGATCACTGGCACATGCCACCATGCCTGGATAATTTTTGTATTTTTAGTAGAGACAGGGCTTCCCCACGTTGGCCAGGCTAGTCTTGAACTCCTGTCCTCAGGTTATCCACCTGCCTTGGCCTCCCAAAATGCTGGGATTACAGGCATAAGCCACTGTACCCGACGAAGAAAACATGTTCTTTTTTCCCATTATGAAATAAAACCTCTCTCTGAAACCAAAAAGAAATGTTTCTCAGATGAAAGAAAAGTACTCAATGTGGTTAAATATGTTAAAGTGATTTTTAAAAATTATGACTTATATACTTATTGTATCGCAATCTGAGTGCAGAGAGGATCTGGTTATTGTTTGTAAGTTTAAAAGCTTAACAGACTGTAACAGAAGCTGTCTGCAACATTTTATAAAACAAATTCCAATTTTATAGAAAAATATCATACAGGACTCTTAGGTTGCTCAAGACCCTGTTTCCTAATAGTTTTTGAAAGCTGTTGACTTTTAGAAATGAACATGTTGATCTGGGCGTAAAGAAGGAGGATATGTAGAAAACAGAAGAGATGCCAATTCACTATGCAGCAGGCAATTAATTAGCAAGAGTCGTGCTCCTTGAAACATATGATTGAGGAGATCTGCAATCTTAGAATAACAGAAGATACCTTCCAAGTAACTTTACTGGTGTGATTTTCCACCAGAGTTCAATCAATGGATTAGATCTTAGAGTAAGGTTGTGGTTCTCAACAGGAGGTAGTTTTGTACCCCCTCCCAGGAGATATTTGGCACTGTCTGGAGACATTATTGGTTGTCACAACTGTGTGGGGAGGATGTCCTGGCAGTTAGTGAGGAGAGGTCAAGGATGCTGCCAAACATCTTACAATGCACAGGACAGCACTCACAACAATTACCCGGTGCAAAATGTCAATAGTGCCAATCTTGGACACCCGGATTAAGGTGTCCAAGCCAAAGTGCTGGATCCTTGTGTGCACAGGGCTTGTGTGGAGGCTCCTCCAAAGGACACAGCCTAGTGGAGGAGCCTCTTGCTTTACACACACACACACACACACACACACACACACACACACACTCTTTATGTTAAAAGGCAACAAGTACTATCACAGGACCCCAACAGTTACACACACACACACACACACACACACACACACACACATTTATGTTAAAAGGCAACAAATACTGTTACAGGACCCCGACAGTTACCCAAAGGTAGCTGTTGGGTCAGGGTTTCTGCACTATAGTCCCATCTGGGTCATGAGAAATATGTTACAGGACCCCAACACTTACTCAAAGGTAGCCACTGAGTCAGTGTTTCTGCACTATAGTCCCTTCTGCGGTCACCAGAAATATGTTATAGGGCAGGGGTCCCAATCCAGACCCCAAAGAGGGTTCTTGGATCTCACGCAAGAAAGAATTCAGGGCGAGTCCGCAGTGCCAAGTAAAAGCAAGTTTATTAAGAAAGTAAAGTGATGAAAGGACAAAGGACAGCTACTCCATCGACAGAGTAGGACATTCCCAAAAGTAAGACAAGAACAAATCCACCCTAGGTACAACACTTGCTTATATGGGGAGTTGTGCTCTGCTACCAGAGTCTGTGATAAAGAATTAATTTTCTTAATTAATTTAAATATTTTGCAAGAATCCATATTATTATCTTTAAAGCAAAATTATGAACACCTTCGGTTTCCAGTTATGGGGATATATGGACACGTCCATGTCTGGGTTTGTTGAGTAAACAGGATTAATTTGTTCCCATACTGTAAACATCCAGAGGCTAGGAATGCCCAATGTTCTGAGAACACAGCCCAGCAAGTCTCAGCCTCATTTTCCTAGCCCTCATTCAAAATGGAGTCGCTCTGGTTTGAATGCCTCTGACAGTACCACCCAGAATTCTCCCAGTCTCCTGGCACACAAGTTAGTCACAGGAGGATTGAGTTACAGGGTTTTCACTAAGCCAGCCATACAATAAGACCACTATTGAAGGAACTGCTTAAGGAACAGGTAATAGGAACTGTTCAAAGCATAACAGGATTCATTAATTCATTTATTTACCTATTCAGCAAAACTTTATTGAACGCTCCCATGAACCCTTCTGCTAGGCATAGTGATACATGGTGAATACAACCAGACGTGGTCCCTGCCCTCTTGGAGCTTACAGCCTAGGAGGGAACTCTAAAGGTTACAAAGAAGGGGCCAGTTTGTACAATGAGGACTCCATTAATGTACATGATTGAGCTTGACAAGCTTCCACGTTTGTAATCTCATTTGAACTGCACAACCACCTCAGGAGACAACCTTTATTCCCTTTTTAGGTTAAAAATGTGCCCAAGGTCAAAACAGTTTGTAAGTGGCAGAGCTGACCAAGTGACAATGAAGGCCCTCTTATAGAATTCTATAGAGCAGGGATACATATAGGTGCTCTTGCCTTGATTTTTACTGAACTTGCCTCTCCTAATTCTCACCGATCATATAGGTACATAGCTCTTCTCTTTATGAAAAAAATGCCCCCACCTACTTCATCTTTTCCTTACAGCTGGGGATTCTAGTTGTTTCACGTACATTCGCCTTGTGTTTCTAATTAGATTGTAAACTCTCAACCTGCAGGGACCAGATCTTCCATTTCCTTTGCAACCTTTTGCAGTACTGCAGTCACCCAATAAATGCCCTCTGCATGAATGAACCTGTAGAGATAAAAATATTTTATGGCATTCCCATTTATAGGTTTCATGTTTTTATTTTGCTCTGTGATAGGGCTGTACATTATACGCTTCTAGAGGGCAGAGAAAATGGCTTGGTGCTTTCCTTTACACTCAGCAGGAACCAGGCAAAATTTGATCCTTGCATGCCTTTTTGATGCTCTGGGTAATATTAGCACGCTGGGGTGTTTTTGTGTATTTACGGACCGAGGTTGTCAGCCTCTCTGCGGCGGAGAATGTTGCTGCCTTTCTATTGCAAGCTCCCATGGCGCCTAGGACAGGGCTAGATCACTGCAGAAGCTCCTCCTTGCTTATTTCTAGCACTAAGGAAGCCAACTGCGAACATGGCAAGCTCTTGCATAACCCTAGACCTCGAAAGGAAATGAGCAAAGTGGAAGGTGGAAGGGGATTTGAAGGCAGGTCAGAGATGGCCTGGATGAGAATGCCGACGCTTCTCTCTGAGGATCCAGCCCAAGTCTGACCAGAAGGGCTCGAGTAAGTGGCCGCCCGCAGTCCCTAGTCCCCGGAGACAGCCCGCCCGCTCGCCCGCCGGCCCCGCGCGCCCCCGGGAGCTGTCCAGACGGCCCCGCCCGCGCCTACCTGGGCACTCACTCTTGCCGCCGCGCCGCCTCTTCTCCTCCCACCCCGGCCACAGGAGCCCGGCTCCGGCCTGCCTCGTTGCCTGCGAGTAGCCCCGCGGGCGGCGCGCTCGCAGCTTCCACCCGGCGGGCAGAGCGACGGGCCAGACAGCGCCAGGCGCGCCGGGGGCGGCGCGGTCAGGCTCGGCGGGGCTCGGCGGGCTCGCCCTCGGCCGGGCGCCTGCAGGGGGCGCGGGGACGGCCCCGCCCCGCCGCCTCCTCTCTCCCTCCCGGCTCCCTGGATCCGCGCCGGGAGGAAATGATGTGTTGCTGCCTGGTTAATCACAGCTCCAGACACTCATTGGCCGAGCGCTCCGCAGCCACTTCCTCCTCCTCCTCCTCCCGCTCCTCCCGCTCCGGCTCCTGCTCTTTGCAGCCGCCGCCGCCGCCGCAGCCTCCCCCTCGGCGCTGGGGGAACTTTTCTACTCTCTGTGACCGTCTCCCCCACGGCTCCCGGGGGCAAGCCCCCGCCCCCCTGCCCGCCCCGCCCGCGGCGGTGCTCCCAGCCCGAGCCTCTGCGCCTTGGGAAGTTTATTCCGCCCGCCCTCCTCCCCTTCCTCCTCCTCTTCACCCCGCCTCCCCGCCCTCCCCCGGCTCTTTCCCCGGGTGGCTGCCGCTGCCGCCGCTGCTGCTGCCAGCCTGCTCCTCGGCCAGCCGCGCCGGCCCCAGCGCTGGGAAGCCCCCGCCCCACGCACCGCTCCGCCGCAGCCGCAGCAGCCGCCGCCGCTCGGGGCTGGCCCTCGTCCCCCAGCCCCCGGCCCCGCAGAGTTCCGGGCTCCCTAGCCGGCTGCACCGCCCCGCCCCGCCCCGCGCCGCGCCGCGGCGACCTGCAGCGCCCGGCTGCCTCGCACTCCGCCTCCCCCGGCTCAGCCCCCGGCCGCGGCGGGACCCGAGGTGAGCGCAGGTCGCCGGCCGCGCCTGCTGGAGCCGGGCGGACCGAGGGAGGAGGTAGCCTAGCCGGAGAAGAGGCAGGGATCGGGGGTGGCTGGGTGGGCGTCTGCGGTGCCTCCCCCTCGCTTTCATTCCTTTCTCCCCCAAGCTTGATCCCCTCTCCGTGGGGGAAGCCGCCGCGGAACAAAACTGTCTTGCTTTGGGCCTGAACTGCCGGTGGGGTAAGGGATTGGGAGCAGAGGCGTGGAGCGGGGGTCTTAGGTTTGCACTGGGGTGTGTGCGTGTGTGTGTGCGTGTGTGGTGTGTGTGTGTCTGTTGTGAACTCCTTCAGGGTGTGCGACTCTGACTTCTAAATCGATCTGGCCGCGGGGCCACGGGGCTCACCTTCCTAGCTGAGCTTGGTAGAGAGTAAGGAGATAGATAGGCGAATCTCCCCCACCCTCAAAATATCCGTCTCTTCCAAGAGGAATTTTCTGCTGGAGAGACAGCCAATAAACTCTGCTCAACTCCCTCCCTCCCTCGGTTCTTCCTAGCTGCAGTTTCAAAAAGCTTCAAAGCCAGGAATGTGGGATTCATCTTCCGATCCCCAGAAGGCAAATGTGGTTACAGATGTTGCACGGTACTTTGCCAAGTTTAAAACCCTTCCTTCAACATTGTAACCAAAACAGTGAGGCTAGAACCTCGGGCGCTCTAAGAAGAGATGTGGGCCTCTGGGGCCGCTGGATTCAGTAACTTCCGTCGGGTTCTAAACCGGCTCAGCTCTGTCCAGTTTGTGCCAGATAGTCTTCCACCCCCTCTCCACCCCTCCTTTCCCCTGGAGATTTGAACGCTGCTTGCATGGGAGAGAAGCTACTTAGAGAAGAAAACGTTCCACTTAGTAGCAGAAGAAAAGTCTTGGTTAAAAAGTTGTCATGAATTTGGCTTCTGGAGAGAGGCAGCAAGGTAAATACAATGGACTTGTCAATTTTGTTGGGCTTTTCTTTCTTTTTTGAGGGATGTATGATAAGACTTAGATGGTGGGCAAAAGGGTCGGTTCCATACATGTTTGTCCATATTTTTGAAAAGAGGCCCATGAATTGAGACATAACCCAGTGGTTTTAAAGAATCCTGTCCCGGAGATGCAGATTGCTCTGACAGCCCAAGGGAAGGCGGTGGCAAAAAATAGACACCACCTCCCTTTTCCCCAAAAAAATTCTTCCTGGAAAGGTGGTGTTAAGAAATTTCAGAGATGGGCTGATCCAAGTGGCGGTCCTTAAATGGAAACACTATAGTATGTCCTGGCACTTGTCTCTGGAGGTGGGTTGCTGGCCAGGGGCCCAGGCTTGGACAGCCAGCAGACACTAGACTTGTGCTGACCTCAGACTTCGGCCTCGCCATGCAGCTTTATAGTGTGCAGACCGCTTAACTTTGAAATACGGTTCTCATCCATTCTACTGATGGGGACAGTGGGGTCAGGAGGTTATTTTATGCCTGGATGGGACTTGGATCACTTATTTTATGATTTGCTTGTTTTTGTTTTCTGTCTTGGAATTTTAAAAAATTGAATTCTTTTGAAGCTGAAATGTAGGCCTTCAGTTGATGTAACTGCGTGTTGGATAATAGTATTTCTACTATTACCCTTCATGCAGGTACTCACAGGTGGTGAGTGATATAGAGATAAATTCTATATAGGTGACAAAGACCAAGGATTGATACGGTTGTAGATTGGGTTCACACCCTCCCTTTTCAGCTGTGTTGTTGAGTTGTACTTGAAATGGAGAGGGTGGTTTTAAATAAAACTTGATTTAGGTAGTAGTCTTACAACTTTTGTACCTTAGAAGAGAGTGATCATTTGAATCCAAGTAAGTTTCTTGTTATCTCTAAGTAATTTTAAGGAATATTAAGGATACAGAGTAAAGTTGCCATATTCAGGAATGTAATGTATTGATTTCAGAAGTGAGGAACTTAATTTGTTTAATAGCATTGTAATGAATTTTTTTTCAAAGCAGTGATTTACCAGATTTTCTTCCATGTGTCCAAGGAAGGTTTAACAGAGATTGAGTCAGGAGATAGAGGTTATGCCTGTACTTTGCCCTAGTTTGGACTGAACTAGTCCTGTAATGGTCATGATCGCTTCTAGGTAATTTTCAGGCTTGGATTGAGTAGTCCAGTCTTCCAGGGGAGGGGGGAACAGGACAGAAATGGATTTGAAAAATGATCCTGCTCTTCAAGGTCATGAGGTGAAGATGGAATCAATGCTGGGACTGGGAGCTGTCTTCTGTGGCTTGTTCTGCTCTTGGATCCCTGCATCTTGATTTATTTTTATGTGAAGAGATCTCATGCCCAACTCAGTAGGAACTCTGGAGAAGCAAACCACTGATGGTGGCAAAACTCTTTGCTATGTTTGGGTTACTTTAATGGAAGGACAGTTTAGGGGTGCTGGATATGTGGCAGGCACTGTGCTCAGCTCTTTCTTTACATGTACTTTTTCATGACATTTCCACAAACACCGTATGTCTTATTATTATTTTACCCTTCTACAGTAATAAATTGAGGCTTGGCAAATTTCAGTGGTAAAGTGGGGATTTGAACCAGGGATCTGTAGGACTTCAGAACTCATGTTCTTGGTCACATTTGCCAGCGATTGTCAAACTTCATTCACTCACATACTGTACTGTCTTCTGAGTTTACCATGGCTGAGTCCCACTTTATTAATGTTTTTCTTTAAAGCAAGATCCACTTAAAGAAAATAACCTTAAAACATCATTTTAAAAGAGGAAACTATGTATTACTTCCGTATTTGGAAAGCCAACTCAACTCGTTAGGAATAGGAGATAATCTTAAATATGCATCTATACTTGCATCGAAACCCCGAGTTCAGAATAATGATTATGTGGAGTGTGTGTATGTTGCAGGGACCTGTAATAAAAATGGAGGAGGTAGGTAGATGATGCAGTATTGGTGATGTTCTGGTTTTTGGATTGGGCGATGGGTTCATAGGTGCTGATTTTATTTTTAGACTTTATCTGCTGCATACACGATACATACTTTTTTTTTGGTGAAATGGGAAAGAAAATTAAACACATAACTATTAACGTAATGTTTACTTAGGGACTATTTTACTGCGCTGTGCTGACTGTAGACTTAGTTTGGTGCCTTGTGTGCAGTAGGCACACAAGAACTATTGGCTGATCGACGAGACCCCAGGAAATCATTGTAAAGCAAGCTCACTGTTTGTTATATTTGAATAAGGTTGAGGTGTGCCCGCTCACTTCTACTCTCATTTCCAATATTGCAACTCAGCAGCGTGGGCTGCAGTGAGGTTTCCCCTGGCTGCAGTTATGGGAGACCCAGGCTGGGCTGAAGCTGGCACTTTTCAGCATCACCCTGTCTCAGATATCTAGCACTTGGGATGGGGCAAAGAATGCTGTTGTGAAGTGTTAAGACTCTTTCCTTTTTACTCAGTAGTAGGATGTGACCATTCAGAGCTGGAAGCAGTATTTAAGTTTAAAGGAGGGCTTGGCTGAAATGTTAACAACATTAAACTGGTGAGGCTGGGAAATAAAAGCCATCAGAAATTTTAATTGGAATCCACAGAATCTCCTGTGTTATTTTCCTAAGCAAGCACTGGGCACTGTGGCTTTATTCCTGGAAATGAGGATTTGGAATTGGGTTTCCTGGTACAGAATGCCGCCTTTGATCTTTTGGAGTGAAAACTTTGTGTTTCTTTCTGTGGCCAATTCTAGCTCTTAGAAGAACCAAATGGAAGATTTACCTCTTCATTTTTAGCATTTGGCCATAGACTGCTCTTGCTTGCCATGTTAAGTTTAAGAATCAGAAGTTCCAGACTAGGATTTGTCTACTGGAAGGACATTCAAATGAAAGACTCCTTTTGAAAGAGCCTCATCAATTTGGTGTGGTTGGCACATCACAGCCTTTGGTTCAGATGGGAGGTAGTTTTACTTGAACTCACACTCTCAAAATAGTTGATTCGGCAGCTTCCTTTTTTGAGTTAACACAAATACACCCTCTGCCCCTAATATTCAAACTGACTGCACATTTGAATAATATTCTTGTGCTCTTCTAGGCAGTTCTGGAAATGTGGGATTGTTTATATGTATAAAGACTCTTATGTGATCCATGAGAGCCTTGTTTTCCAGAGCCACTGCTATTGAGTTGTTTGATTTTTGGGTTTCACACTCTGACCAACATTCCACTTTGCCCATTGGAGTTGCTTCATTGTTGACTCTGGGTATTTGGCCTTTATTTCTGTGACTGGGAAAGTAACTTTTAATTTCAATCTTCCTAATTGTGTGGAGGTTTGTGCAGTAGGTGAAGGTTGATTTGAAGAGGGGGAGGGGTTGGGACCACATTTAGCCTACATGTCCTGAGGGATCTCCCAAGATCAGTTCTCATTTATCTTGAGGCCAAACCTTGGCCTTTCTGGTCTCTGCAGTGGCCCCCACCCCCTCCTTTTTGGGGGAACCAAAATTCTTCAAGGCTTAGAGTAATCTTATTGCAAGCAAGAATGCTTTCAGGATTTTGCCGTTTTGCTTTTTGACAGTCTACTAGGTTGTATCATCCCCATTTCTTATTCTGGGACATGATTGATCTCTTTGAGGACAAGGGCTTCAAGTTGTTCATTCCTCCATTGATTCTTTCTACACAAGTCATTCCCCTTCACCAATTAAAAACCTTTCAGATTCTCTCCCTGGGCTCCTTGAGGGTAGGGACAGTCCTATTCATCTTCTGGGTAACTTTTGCACCTAACACAATGCCTGGCGTAGACCACACGGTGAATAAATAGTTTTTTAATTGCCGAGAGAACGAATAGATGATTTCATGTTAAGGGAGGAAAGGGACTCAGTCCTCCAGGGAATTAGGCAAATCTTGGACAAGATGATACCAGTCACTGTAAGGATGAGTTTGGAAAGTGGGGACGAAAGACACTACATAGAAGGAACTGCTTTTGATACCTCTTGTTAGAGCTTAATGTTGTAACCTGTGCTTAGTCAATTCCGCAA